AATCAATTTACCGTTGTAATTCTTATTTAATTATTAAAGTCGTATTTAATTATTTTATTAACAAAGTTAATTTTCATGACTCAAGTACGATAAATGAAAGCAAGTTTTGTTTAAAAAATTGCATATAACGAAAAAAATACATTCAATGCAAGAAAAAACACAATTTTTTTTTGTTCAAATTTCATTCACGACAGTTCATTTCACGTTTTTCCTAATAAAATGAAGAGTTAATTTTCCATCCGCTTTTGGAATTTCTTCTCTTTTTTCTTTTTGAATCGATTACAATTAAATAAAGGTAGAGGAAACGAATTTTGTCATTACAATAAATTGAAGTTTTTCATACTTTTTTTTTTAGATGTAGAAATATTTATTAAAGTGGTACTTTTTTGTATATATGTAGACGTATGTATATGTATTCATTTTTTGCAAAAGATAATTTCCGTCATCCACCTACACTGCATTAACACATAACTCGGATTAAAAGAAAGTATGAAAGCTTGTAATTAAACTTTTTATTTGCAGTGTGAATTCAATTCTTGTTCATGTAATTTAACATGAATTTTTGATTTGAATTTTTTATACTTACGCGAATTTAATTACCAAGATTAAGTGCGAATATAATTTTTGAAGAATATTATGCAAACTATTAATTCTTTCTTTAAAATGAACTGTAAATATTTTTAATTGATGACAATAATTGAGTATAAAGTTGTCAAACTTAATTCACAATGAGTCTTTCAAATTTTTAAAATGAAGATTAGTTAGAAGATTAGAAGAATGACAGAAAACACAAAAAATTTCGTTTGATATGTTCGAAAGGGTTAACCATTACATAGTGTAATACAAATATCTATATTTGGTAATATCACTGATTACATTACATAAAATACTCTTTAAAACAACATAATTGTCTACTTTTTTTTTTACAAAAAAATTTTTAACAACAAAGAGTCTGACCAACAACTAACATTGCGGAAAATAGTATACGAGTAATAATTATTGTTCTAATATTAAGTTATCCTGCGTAAAAATAAAATATGTATGTGTTTTTGGAAATCTTAAAGAAAACCGATCAAATTAAATAATTGAATAAAAAATTTTTTTAGTTCTTGAAACTATTTCAATTACTTAATTGATTGCATATATATACAAAAGTTTTTATCATAAAATAAGTTGAAAATTGAACACAGTAATAAAAAGTAAGAATGAATTCAATTGCACGCAATATGAGGGATGGGTTCTGTAAAAACACAAAAAAAAATTGAATTAAATTATAACAGAGTTTTGTTTGTTTTGAATTAATTCTAAGACCCTTTGCAAAATTTCGTATTTGTTGTATATATGAAAAGAAATTCAATTTCTTTAAATCGATTGCAAACGTAATAAATTATCAGTATAACTAGAAAAATCATTTTTCTTTTGGTTTTTAAACAATTATTGGAGTAGTAGTGAGATAATACTATGATAAGTGATAATAATTATCAATATTTGCAGGGTATATGTGTGCATGTACAAAGTTTATAGATATTTGTAGATACAAGTATGTACTCAAAACAGTAATGCTACAGTTTTGTGTACTACACAAAGATAAAATAAATCACGTGATCGAAAATTTACGGTTACTCAATTGTGTGTATTAATTGTGAACCGGATCAACTGTCAAATTTTAAAATACTTTTAGTTTAATTACTCGTATCAAAGTAATTTCACCGTGTACTTTTGCTTATATAATAAAACGAAAAATAGACCTGCAAATCAAAAAAGTCCGCATTTTTCTTGTTATAAATTGATTGCTTTCCAAATTTTTGTCATATGTTTTTCTTTTTCTAAATAATTTGATAATTAATAATTGCCATTTTAAGTTTTCATGTCAAATCAGAGACACACACATAAACCTTGAATTTTTGTTATATATATATAAACGTAATAAAAATTGTTATAACACGCGGTAACAATTTTTTTTTTGCTCTCTTTTTTTATTTAATAAAATCGTTAAAATGCTATTATGATGTCAAACTCAATTGATCCATTAAGTGTGTAGTTTTTTTTTCTACACAAAGGTATGAATACAAATTGTTTATGTATAAGTATATGTATATGTTTAAAATACACAACTAATATGATGAATACATCGGATTTTTTTGTACTCAAGTTGACATCATACGAATTCTTGTTTTTAATATATTTTAGTTAAATTTAATTGAAATCAATAATAATTAATTAAAAAAAAAATGAAATAACAAAAGGAGCAGAACAAATTAAAATTTGAAAAAAAAAATGGAGTAATGTACAAATTATTTATTTATTTATGCAAGTATAAGGTAATGTGAATTTGAATTTGGAATTTATGAGCAATGAATTTTAAAAAAATAAATAAATTAAGTATACAAAAAATTTTTACTGATTGCGATCAATTTAAAAAATTATTCTTTTTAACGGAACCGTCTATTATACGCAGGAGGCTTTTATACATGGCAGTTTTTAAACCAATGGCTTAAATAAATTTTGTAATCATAAATATGACATTTATTTGAATATGACATTTGACATTTGAATTTTTCAAAATTCCCGTTTATTATTTTAAATTTCAGATGTAAAAATTACAAGCGCTAAATAATTGAGGACACGTACTCCTTTTCTAGTGCAAAAGTTCATTAACCGCTTTACTTAATATTTCTAATAATTAGAAGTCAAATGAACGCACTCGGAGTTACTTATATTAAAAATAAGAGGTAATTATAACACCCTAATCGTGTATTTCGCTTTTTCATATCACTTACATTTCTTTTTTGTTCTAATGGATACTTCATTTTTCCAAAAAGATTACACATATTTCTCAAATTATCACCTGAACCCATGTCACCTTTACAAACAAAATGAATAAATAAAAATTAAGTTTTGTGAGTATATATGTATGTATTTTAGAAAAAACAAAATACGCAATACGGTAAAATTTTTCGGACTCGAATCTTACATTATACATACAAATATTATGACAGTCATTATTCACCTTCTTCTCACTTGACAAGTAAAATAGCGAGAGACACGAGCACGCTCTAATTGAAATTAAAATAGGAATTTCACGTTTTAATAATTTAGAAATTAAAAATCATCCTAAAAATATGCAATTTTCAAAAAAAAAAATTAAACGAGTTGTTAGAGAAAATTCATCGTCTATTTTAATGAAAACGCATAGTTTTATGATTTCTAAAATAACTACAGTCAATCTTAGTTTTATTTTAAAATACAAACACATAAATCCATTTGTTCCCCCAAAAAAAAATTTCTAAATTTTATGGAAACAACTACAAAAGAGTTTTATAAAAGAAAATCAAAATAAATTTCTAAACTTTTCAAGACATTTTTTTTATTCTAAAAATTTTCAAACTATTTGTTTATTAATTTGTCTTCATTTTGAATATTATTTATGCTTTTACATACTTTTACAATAAATTTTGTGTATATGTATGTGTTTATGTACTAATATTTTATTGAATATTTTCAAATGTCATGGAATTTCAAATTAATTGCAATTTTGCCCTTGATCAAATCCAATATTTTTGGTTCTGCGTTTATATTTTATACTTTATTTAGAATTAAAATTATTTAAAAATATCGTGCACAAAATATAGAGTAAAAAAAATTAGTGAAAATGTGTGTATATGTAGAAAAACCAACAAAAAAAAAAAAGGATATTTGTGCCATTCGGTTTCTGGCACAAAACAGATTTTTTTTTCTCCTTGTAAAATTCAAAACTGTTATCGTTATTGTTTCCTTTACTAAATTTTTATTTTTTTTCCTTTTGTGAAGTTTTCGTTTTCTATATCAGACTTTGATAATATTTCAAAATAAAAAAAAATGTTATAAAAGAAAGTAAAAATCTAGCACAAAAAAAGTTTGTTTGTTGGTTTCCTGCATTGACTTTATGCGCCCTATAATACTTATAAAAAAACTATATTTTTCCTTATTAAAAAATTCATAAAAAAAATAATCGCAGACATTTTTGTATTTGTATTATAATTGCGAATATTTTTGAGGATATTTTTAACATAATGAATTCTTGTACTAGAAAGGATAATTTAAATAAAAAAAATGGAAAAATGCAAACGAAAAAAAGATTGTATACGGAAAACGTCAGCTAAAATGAAAATAACAAATAATTTGTAAAAACTTTTTGAGATTTTTATCAGTGGGTTTTCCTTTTTATTTGTGCGACATACATTTACACTAGTATATATAAAGTTATTATTTTAAGGGTTGTACAAAGCTATTGAATTTAATGTTTTTATTACAAAATTTATGGAAGTACGGAATATTCTCTTTGTCAACTGATTGTGCAGAAGCATATTAAATGAGATTTGACATGAAAACTTAAACAAATTTAGATCTAACAAATTCAATTTATGATTCATTTATAAAAAGAATTTTCTAGGTCTTCTCTTAATATCATAAAATTGGTTTAGGATTATTGTCACAATGTTGGTATTGTAGGGTTAATCAAGCCAATTAAAATATGCATTAATTTCATTACTTTTATTGAGTTTTAGAAGTTGGCTAACCGTAAATTTATAAATTTTGATAATTTCGTTATAAGTACATACTAAACCGAAACATTTATTAAGAGATGTAAGAACTGTTCAAACTTCAGAAATCTTCAATTTATCACTTTTATTCTAATTTTAATTAAAAACGTGTTAAAAATTTAAATTGCGATGTTTGCTAGCTTTAGGATTTCCTATTATACTGAAAGCGAAGTTTTAAATTCTTAATCTTATGGTTCGTACAATATTCTGCTTTTCGTGTGAGGTCCCTAAAAGTATGCAATTTTTTAATTATTTGTAAAGATCTATATTTTCTGAGGGATTTGCACATCCCTGCCTAGGAAAACAAATTATATTTAAAAGAAAAACGAAAATATTTATGAAAAAAAAAAGAAAATTATTATAACTACTTAAAAGTATGTAAAACAATAATTTTTATTTTTATTAATAATTTTCCAGGTCACAAGAAAATAACCCTAGACAACATACAACAAAATAAACCTTTATCATATTGAAGAGATTTTTATACACAACTACCAAATAAGAATTAGGAGAATTTCAACTACAACTATAAAGTTCCCATTCCAATAAACGAATTCTTTCAAAAGAAATTTTTTTTTATTCAATATTTTTATAAAGGAAAATATTATTCAAATACATACAAAATTAAAATAAAATATAGCAACATAACAAATAAAAATGTCTTCAAGAATATCTGCAAATAATCATTTACCTCCACCACCACCACCAAAACCAGTTAAAACATCTTCAACAAACATTGATACAACAAAATATCAAAATAATGTAGCAACAAATAACGATTATTTGAATACAAATGGTAGCAACGATATTGCTAACAATTCAATAGCAAATCAGAATGGAAATGGTCTTCGAAATTGTCACACGCCACCACATATTGAACGGGAACAAGTTGTAATGACACCAAAAAGTAAAACAGCTAGAACAACAATAATATTAATTGAAAGAAAATTAGTTAATCATGTACATGATCGTTTACATGTTGCCGGTGGTGATCATACCGGTATTATAATTAATAAAGAACAATTAAAAGATCAAAAAAGTTCTAGATTTGCACCACATTTAGCATTAGAATTTCGTGTATTTTTAGTAAATTCTAATACTGGAAAACATACACAAGAATCAAGAACATTAAGATTTTGGTTCCGTCAATATATTAAAGATGATGATCAACAAGCACAATTAGCACAAGATTTCTTTAGAGAATTGGTTAGTCCAAAGGAATTTCCAAGAGGTAATTATAATTAAGAATTAATTAAGGGGACAAAAAAATTAAAAATTAAATTTTTATTAAATTAAAATCTAAATTAGATTATGTTGGATTTATTAAGAAAATAATGAAATTAATGCAAAAAGGATATGACGAAATCAAATGTTTGGAAGTTGAATTACAAATTTTGGATGAATCAGAACAACCACCAACCAGACCACGTGAGTAGTTTTTATTTTTTTTTCTTTCGTATTTTTAGAATAAATTTTTTTTTATTAATATTTTATTTCTGTATTTTTGTCTTTTATATTAAGAAATGGTGGATTTATTTAGAAAAAATATAAAAAGAAAACAAAAGGATATTAAAAAATAATATTTTTTTTGTTTATTTTGGAAAAGACACCAAAAAAAAAACCCCGATTGAAATTTGGATGAGAATTTTTTCCATATATTAAAAAAAAAAATCTTCCATTTATTCAAGAATCGATGGCCTAAATATGAATATTACTTTTTCATTTTATTTTTTTGGCAATTTACCAAGGATTTTCGCAATAAGGAGTAATATTTTTTCATGTCATAAAAAGAACATATTCAAAAGGATTAAATTTTTTCTCTAAAAATAATTTATTATTTTTTTTTCTTTAAATTATGCCATTTCATATATGGTGAATAATTTCAATTTAATTAAGCAACATCTGAGGATAATTCCAGAATAATGTCACAGGATATTAATTTTTCAAGTTGGAATAACACAGATTTTTGTCAGTTTTGTAAAAATATTAATATAAAAATTCCTACCTTGTTTATGTTGAATAGCATACAAAATTTGAAATCAAGTAACCTTTCGACATCGGAAATATTGCTGAATCTTTGTGATATCTTGTGTATTATGCTATTAATACTTTTATTTTTTTTATATCCGCGGAATGAAATGGTGCTTAAGAATTTTTTTTATTTCTATTAGATCATTTTTCATATTTTTGTACTGCCACAAATAAATTTTTATTCACGAATTTAAAACATTCACATTAAAATTCGCGAATATTCCAATATTTCGCTTATATCGTTCTTATGATAATTTACGAAAATTTTAAAATATATTTAAGTAATTTAAAATTCTCATAAAAAATAAACAGCAACCAAGTGAAAACATATTGAGTAAAATTTATTTTTCAATAACCAGTGTTATATTTTCACGACGACGGGGGCGAACTATTCAAATAATTAAAAACATTAAAATTTTCGGAAAAAAAATCCTCATCCAAATTTATTTTTAAATTTCTATTATTTTTATTTCAATTGTTTATAAAATTTATAATTTAAATATTTACAATATTTTAATTTTTTAAAATTTAGCGATCACACAATTTTCACCTCATTTTTATTCGTAATTGTTTTTATTTTATTAATTTTCGTTTCGTTCTGTTATTCACAAATTTATTTTAATTTATTGAGACTAAGATTTTAGAAATTGTCCTTCTTAGATAAAGAAAAAAAATACTACGACAAAACTTTATTTTTTTTTGGATTTTCTGCACAAAATGAAAGACGAATTCTGCATAAAAAAGAAAAAATTCTGCACCAAAAATTAAAAAAAAAGAAGAAAAATAAAAATTTGTTTTTGTTGTTTTGTGAACATTTTGTGTTTTTTTTTCTTTTCTTTCTTTCTTTTTTTTATTTTATAGCCAGGGACGGTTACATTATTTACTGCTATGGTGATTGTAATCGAAGATATGAAGAAGCTCTTCGGGCACAGAAAAAAGCAGGTGATGGTGATGATTTAATGAAAACAATTTGGTTGGATATTTATGCTGAAAATAGATTTAAAAAGCTTTTACGAACTAAATCATTAAATCGAAAATAATCACTAAAAAATTAATATGAAAAAAAAACTTAATAATTTAAAATTTACAAAATTAAAATAAAAGAATAATTTTATGTTCTCAATGGGCCTATTTTCACAAGAATGCATTGAGCGTTTGAACAGCACAACAATTCTTTTATGCTTCTCTCCTGTGCGAAAATAAAATTTATTTGTAAAATAGAGGAGGTCAGAAGTACAAAGTAACTGTTATGCATATGCTCAACGCACATACGAGTTAATAGGCCCAATTTGGTTTAAAGTTCAATTTTTTAAACAAAAATTTTTAGTGATGATTTTTCGAAATAATTTTAACTCGAATATAAAAAATCGAACAATTTAACATTCACCTATATGAATAAAATTTCTTTTTATTTTTTTCTAATAAAAAATAAAACTAAATTTATGAATAAAAATTAAAACTGCACCACTTATAGTCAATGGAATATAATTTTTTTTATTATTATTTTTACCCCGTTAATTCCTTGGTTTTATATTATTTTATTTTTCTTTTATTGACTTATATATAAAATAATTTAAATCTAATACTCCAAATTTAATATGAAAGAGATTAACAAAACATTGTACAAAATAATGACAAAATTATTTTCTTGTAACAATTTTAATGCTAATGTGATATTACATACAAACATATTATATATATATAATTATTCTTTCTTTTGTGTTGTTTTAATTATTCTTTTTTTAATTTTCCTATATATTTTATAAAAAATTATTTGTTTTGCCTTTTGGTGTTTAACCAAATCTTTTATTTAATTTTGTTTTTCTTCTACATTTTTAAAAATAAAATAATTTTTGGAAATTAATAAAAACTGAAAAAAAAATTGTATAAAAATAAATTTTAATATTTTAACTGACCCCGTCCCTGTTCATTCCTACATTTTCTATAAACAAAATATTAAACTTCAAATGTAATTCTAATATGTCAATTGATTACAAAAACATGTTTTATTTGCAATGTTTTACATGCAACCAAATAATTTGGGATTAGTAATATAAAATGTTTTTTTGAAGAACCCATTCTACACTGATGATGGCTAGTAAATTAATCGTTTTCTGAGAAATTACACAAAACTTCTTAAAATCTTGATGAATAGTGATTTTTTATATTTTACTAATCTATGTTTTGCAACTTTGTTGTCCAATAATTTAAGTTTTGTTAATTCTAAAATGATATTCGTTAATCTGGGTTATTCTTTCTTGAAACTAAATCTTAAATGTATATATGGCAAACATATGAAGGAGTAGAGCTCTCGCATAATTGTTTTTTGAGCCCAATAACAATATTTGTTTATTATTAACAGATTTTAAAGAACAAATTTCAACTTCTTTGTTCTTATACCATATGTGAATCTCTTTACAGGATTCTTTTTTTCTGCTAGCGTTGTTATCTTTTAAATGCAATTAAGAATGAATATTTAATATATTTCGAATATATTTCCATGTTTCAAAAATTCAATGATGCAGATTACGTTTCAGAATCCACACACCTTTTTAATACCTTTAATGTTAAATGTAACACTGACTGTTTTTAATTTTATTCTATTCTATTTGGAAAAAATAAAGATCTTTGGTGAAGTTTCCTCATAAAGCAACACAAATTAGTTTGTCCTAGTTTCTCAATATAAGGCAGTGTTCTCCTAGCGAACAAATAATTTCATTAATTTACACATAAAATTTAAAGATTTTCTATTTTTCTACTTTACCCATCATTTACACGTACAAGTTACTTGCAAGAAAGTTGCAATACATACAAAAATTTTACTAACACATTGAAATATTTCTACTTGCTTGTTTACTTGCAGTTCAACTTGCAAGAAAATTTTGCTGCCAGTAATTTGAGCAAGTAATTTGACATATTGAGAAATTCACAAAAAAAAATTTGTTGTTTTGATTTTTTTTTTTTTAATTTAAAATTTTTGAATTTTGTTTTGAAAAAATTAAACTTAGCAAACTTATGGTTTCTAAAATTTATAAACAATTATATATATTGCTAGTTGTTTTCTTCTCAAAGACATTTTCAAAAATTAACTTGCTAAACGCCTACGTCATAATAGCAAGTAATTTGACATTTCAAAAAACTAATTGACAATTAATATTATACAAACTTGCTTGCAAGTAACTTGTATGTGTAAATGCTGGGTTAGTGACATTCTGCAATCCTACTGTTTTAATTTCAAAATATTTAAAATTTTAATATTTCTGTACTAGATTGATTTTATAATCATAGTTTTCATAGTCATAATTTTCTAATAATATTATTTACATTTCAAATAAAAATTCAAAAGTTTTTATAAAAATGTCAAGGTAATTTAATTTTCAAATTTAATTTAAATTACGTTTCGAACATAGAAATCGAATTTCAAGTCATGGCATCAAAATCTTTATAAAAAAGTGTTTTAAAAATAAAAAAATAATAAGAGTTTCATAAAATCCCGGAAAATCAAAATTAGAAATTTCAAATTGAATGAAAAATTTATTTTAAAAGAGTGTACATATTTGTAACAGCTCAATAAATTTGCAGCCGCCTCAGGTGAGACATTTAAAAATGATACCTTTTAAGAATTAATTTGATATTAATCGCAAGCACTTTATTGCAGAGTTTGGATTTTTAAACACATCCTAATTTAATGTTGGATTTAGATTACTATAAAAATTTGCGTCTTAACTAACTAAATTTTTAAATAACTACCAGGTCTTACTGTTCTGAAAACTTGTGGTGAAAAGATTGTGTAGGTTAGGATTTGCAACTATACTTTCCAATAGAATGAACTTTTTTTTTGTTTAATTTCTTATAAGTATACTCCAACAATTATTAGCATTACTTGTCCTACAAAAAATGTTCATCTAAATCTTACAATAACACAAAAGATTTGCTACAAATAGTTTGTTCTTTTCGTCATCTGCAGCGTGATAAAACCGTAAACATACTCTCTTTAATAATTATACTTATATTTTCAGATTACTAACCTTAGCAGTCAACAAGCCAATCAAATTTGTAGAATTTATAATAATGTAACCGACTAATGATACTTACGGCTAATTAAATAAAATAAAAAAATTCGAATATAAGAAAAATTGCAAAAAAAAATTCAATTTTTACTTTTTTTTTTACATTAAAACAATTTTGCATATACTTTGTAATTGGACAATAAAAATACTACAAAAAAAAATTCATCATTCCATAAATCTATAGCTCATATTCGTTCATCTGCTTAATTGATTTTTCCTTCTTCCCTTGCTTTTATTCCTTAAATTTATAAATAATTTCCTTATACATTTATTAATTCTTCAATTTCAATTAATTTAAAGATTATATAGACTTATTTGTGATGAGTTATATAACAATATAAAGATATGATAAAAAATATATCATTCAAATTATTGTTCTTCCAGATATCCACAAATAATGTGTACATGATGACCCCAACTTATATTTAAAGTATATGAACTTAATTTGCATCAATAAAACAAAAATATCTATGTATACATTGTACATCCATGAATCCCTACTCCAATGTCATTATTAATAAATTTTATTGTCTCCTTCAAATCATTATAATGTTACAATAACATATTGCATTATCATATATAATCATCCATTCACATTAACTCTTCACCATATTCACAATATTCACAATATATTGTATGTATGTACAAAATTTGAACTGTGCGAACTGATATGATTTCCAGACATACAAGTGTAGAACAAATTTCATTTTTCCATTATTACTAAATACTCATATAATATTAACTGCAATTCCCAAAAAGCCATTTGATTTTGGACCATTATAAATATTCAGTCTAACAATCATTGTTAATTTGAATTGCATCATGTTTTCTGTGTTGTTTTTTTTGTTGTTTTCCTTAATTTACATAAAAACAAATAAATGTCTACTAACAAAATACTGTAAAATATTATTTAAAAAATATATTTATATAATCTTACATGTACAGAGCAAATGTACAGAATGTTTCAGTTCTGATTTAAATGTTTCGCTGTAAATAACTGAATTGCAAATATTTAAATAAATCGATTAATAAGTAAAATTTATCAAAAAATCGATTGTAATCAATTTTAAATTCATTAAATATTTTGCATAATGAAAACGAAAAAATATAATTAAATAATTATAAAAAATAATAAAATATATAAAATTTTCGAAATTTAATATTCAAATCTTAAAATTAGCGATTAACATTAAAATCTCGATTAGTAATAAAAATCAATTGATTAATCAGCAATTTGGCAATTCATACTGCCTAGATAATAGTATTTGCGTTCCATTAACATGCTCACACTACTCATGAGCTTATATGTGTATTTTTAAATGGAACGGTCTTTTTCGATATATGAGTAAAACATGACTTAAAATATAATTCAACTGTCAACTATAAATAAATGTCAACTTTACTTTATTGTAAAGTGATTTTAAAGAACCGACCAAATACTGAAACACTCTGTATTATATGCGTATGTATATATATTTTTTTTTTTTTATATGGTTGATTATTATTGCAATATCCGAATTGCAATATTTATTTAAATTAAATATTTTTTTTCTTCCAATTTTTTTCTAATTTAATTAAATATAATTTGTTTACATCATATTTTTATGATATTTCATAAGTATATACTTTTTGAATATTCAAAAAATTAAAATAATAATTTCCTCGATATTTTTTTATTACATATAGCCTCTATGGAAGAATCACAATACGAAGCGAAACCATTAACACAGGAATATATTCTTGAGCTAATTGAACAAGCCTATCCAAATCCAATAAGACCAGATGATTTAGCTAAGTAAGTATATTATGTAATTATGACGATTACATTAAAAATCTGTCAAAAAATCTTGTTTACATTTTTGAAATGCGGCAAGTAGTACTTAAATATGATGAGAGTGTTCCTTAAATAAATTAAATGGAATAAATATTTTTAAAAGCATATGCATTTGTAACATACTTACATAATATTTTCGTAATTTTAAAATGTAATACTCAATTATTTTGAGAATGTAAAATGATACTTTTTCTATATTAGAATTTTATTATATACATACATATATATGTAAATAAAAGAATACTTTTATAAATACGGATTGGTAGTGTTAATGACGTATGTAAAATGGCAATCTACAATTTTAAAATATTTCATTTTTGTAAATAAATTTAATCTTATATTAAGGTTGAAACAGAAATGACGGTGAAAAAAATAGCCGTTTTACTGTTGTTCTGTGTTAACAACGAAAATTGTTCGCCATTGTCGTTTTCGGCTTTCCTTACTCTAAATGGGGTAGATTTAATTTTGATTTATAAAATATTAATAACTATTTCAAAATTTTTAATTACGCACATGTCGTCATCCCGAAGTTATACTTTTGCATTTTACAAACTAACAGAAAAAGTCACAGTTTTCCTGACATCAATACGCTCGTAGAAGAGGAATAAAAAAAAACATTTGTTCGCCGTTTTTGTCGCGTATTTTCTTTCCAATTACTTGTATTTTATTTCCATTTTCGGCTCAATTTTAGAGTTTAGTTCTATGTTCATTATTTTGTAAGGTATGACGGTATAACTTCGGGTCGACGATGTATTGTTTATGGTCTAATGTTGGCACTAATAAATTATAAAAAAATTAATCAAAAATTATTATTTTTACAGAGACTTTGGATGGGATGAACAAGAAATCCTTAGAATAATTATTTCATTGAAAGAACGTGGTCTAATCAAAGCAATGGAATTCAATTCATATACAAGAATTCATCATGAAGATCACGATATCAAAGTATGTATAAATATATTTGTTGCAAATCGTTTTCTTCTAACATTTTTACATATATGATCAACCTTTTAAAATCATTTAAATAAGCACTGAAATTTTTAAAATATTTACTAAATCACATACAACTGATTAATTTCATCTTTTCAATCATTTCCTGTTTACCATATTTTTTTTGTATCCTTACTTCTTAGATTTAGAGAATGAGAATAAAAGTATACGACGGAATGTCTATGAAATTACACATAAAAGGCGTCATTATACTTAATATACATTATACATACACATATACATATATTTATGTATTATGTAACATGTTATTATGAAAAATCTTTTTGAATATCCTTGAAAGGCAATTCAATTCAATATCATTTATAAAAGAATTGATGTTTGTTTAATAATGCCACACACAAACGCTCGTACATAAAATAAAATATAAATCAAAAAAAAAAAAATTGTTCTATATATGTATGTATGTACATATATAAATTTTTATGAAAATATCCTTTGGGGCTTTTCCTTTTTTATTTTTTATTTTTTTGAAAGAAAGGAAATTTACCAAGCGGATGATAAACTTTTCAAAAAGGACAAGTAAATAAATTTTCATAAAAGACTATTAAGAGTATTTATTATACACAAATTTGGGCACACAAACATTTACACATAAATGCTGTGACCAGATTTAAAAGATTGGCTTAAGCAATAAATCTAAACAAATCGAAGGTCAGTAAACTTTTGAAGTATTGTTGTTCCGTATAAATGGCACTGGATAGAAATCAAATAAAGAGCTTCCCTTTTAAAAAATTTTTCATTAAAATTAAAATCTTTTGACAGCCCTGTTACACCATTTTATATATAAGTACAAATTATACTAGTTACATATATACGAGTATGTATATAAAAAGTAATTTGAACTTAGGTATTCGTATTGTACAGGTATAACACCCGTATAAAACCCTTTATGAATCTTTTCTCATAAAATTTAATATATAAGTGTTTTGGGAATAAAATTACTGTAATAATAATAATAAAATTAAGAAATTTTTAAATTTTAATTATTAAAATATCTTTCACTTTTAAAACATATACAATATAATATCAAAAGATTGTATAAGAATTAAAAGAAATTAATTATTATAACATTTATGATTTATTTATTTACATACATATACTTTATAATAGGTCGTTAAACAAATGCCAACAATTGCTTCAAATAAGCAACCAACAATTGCAATAATTACAGCACAATATTGTGAAAAGGTAGCAGTTGATGCAATGTTAGAAAATAAAGAAACATTTGTACGATATACAACAGTCGGTAAGTTAAACAAGAATATGGAACACGAAACACAAATTTTATTATACATATAAATAAAATGTACATCAAAAATTTTAAAATCACATTTACGATATAGGGTCAAATAATAAAAATTATTTTTAAGAAAGTTCGTCAAAGTTAAAGATAAAAAGCAAAGTCTATATAAAAATTATAATTTCGATTTGCCAACGAAATGAACACATTTCATAGTACATATATAAAAAATTTGACATTTTGGCGTTTCATTAATAAATAAAATTTTTAAATGTAAACAAAATTTTGATAGTTTTTTGCAGAGAAACCATTTATACGTTACACATTATTATTTGAACAAGAAATTTTATTATCAAACGAGAAAATAATTTTCTAATACATATAGACATGAAATGTGTTCTCTTATGCTATCATTTATTCATTTATTACTTTGAAGTTACCCCAAATAAATCAATTATATTGACATTTTTTCTGTCAATTTCTTAATTCATGCTCTTGTTGCTTATGTCACTTTGTCAAATTGTCAATAAGACAATATAATTTAGATAACAATTGATAATATTGTGTGTCTTGCATTCTCCGTTATAAAAACTTAAATGAAACTTACAATATTGTTGATTGTCAATTAAGTATCAATCTCCACAATTAATAAAATCAACGATTTCTAATTATTTTCTCTCATTTAACTTCCTTATATTGGAAACTTAAAAAAATTTTAATCCTATAAATTTCTTTTCAAAAAATATTAAATTTCAAATTGAAAAATTTATTAATATAAATTAAAAATTGGTAAAAAAAAACCTTTTTTTTCTGGACTTTGAATTTCTTTTACAACTAACAAACGACATTCACACTCATATCCCAATTACATACAACGTTTTAAAAAAAAACAAAATTTTAAATGAGAAAATTTAAATTAAATAAATATTTTTTTTTTAATTTATGTCAACTGCAATTTTTCTTTCTGTTAAATGCCTAGATTCAGATAAAATTCCCAAGACTGGAACGAGTAGTAAGAAAAAAAGATTTGGTAAGAAAAAGAAAAAAAATCGGAAAAATTCAATATCCACCATAAGTAGGTGTTTGGTTGTCATTTCGTTTAATATGGTTGCCTTAATTTTTTGTTACATTTATTTTTATTTAAATTTAAAATTATTCCAAAGTTTCAAATTTAATTTTAATATAATTTATTTTTTTTTTTGTTATTCATAATTTTAATTTTGGTATTACAGAAATATATAGTTACATATATACACACAATTCGACACAAAAACTAACAAAATAAATTAAATTTTTGCTATTTACTTGTGGTACACTTGTACTTATGCCCAAATTTGTCCTTTATATTTTGAGAACCCAAGTGTTGTTCTATAATTGTCATAATTGTATGTTAAGCGTTCGAAAAATTTTTTATTTGACATTATTATTATTTAATAGTTAAAAAGGATTTTTGGATTGTCGGAATTAATTTATTAAAAAAAATATATTACTAAAATGATTAAAATGCTTATTAACATGGAAAATCATGCAATCATTTATCTATTTTTAATTTCATCTCAAACTACTAGAGAGAAAATAAAACTCATCGATCGATTAACACATTTGTAAAACAACGCATTTTGACAGTTTCCATTCAATTCATTCGTTTATTAATTTGACGCATGTTGCGTTTACACAATTTATTTTTTCAGTGCTTCTTGTTTTTCTATTGAAAAAATAAGAAGTAATTTCATACAAGCAAAAGATGAAGGCATGATATGGGAAAACTTTTTATTGAAAGTTTTTAAACACTTTTTCTCCTGTTTTTGTTACATACAAAAAACAAAACCATTTAGAAAACGATTTGTAGATTCTTTTTTATGGTGACCAAAACAATTGAGGTAATTCTGTGTGAAAACTTATCGTATTGCGACCGATCAAATCTAATTTAAAACAAAGTGTAAACAACATCAATCTCGTTATACGTGTTTTAGGTTCATAATAGCTAAATCATGCATAATTTAATCGTATGAATTAAGCCGACGTTGAAGATTAATTCAAAGATGACGATGACGACAATCCTCCATCTAAAAAGAGAAATCAAAATTTTCACTGTAAATTATCACTGTAAAATAAATGCTATATTTCACATTCACATTTTCAAATTTACATTCAGAAAATAAATCATCATTTTGTTATTCATAGTCTGCTTGCCCATATTTTGGTAACTGAAAAGAATAACTCCCCGCCTTGATTAATGTTTAATGAATTTGTTTTATATAAGTGTATTTTTTTTTTGATTTAGCTTAGTTATTTTGTGTGCTTTTCAAAACACCATTATTTAAAAAATATTATTTTATTTGTTATACATATATTTTTTGCATTATATTTTGCATACACCATTCATAGAACAAATTTTAAGCACTCCAACGTTTTTTTTATTTGTTGTCTTGACCAACTGATCAAAAAAAAATTAATTTTTAATAATAAAATTTTAAAATTTATTTTTTAGGTGAATCAAATGTTTATACTTTGGGTAATATTGGTGCACATCGTATTGTCAGCACAAAATTACCATCAATTGGTGGTAGCCGTGAAGCAATGACTGCTGCTGGTAATACAACAACAAGATTATTGGGAACATTCCAAAAAGTTGATTATGTCTTTATTGTTGGCGTTGCTGGTGGAATACCACATTTCACTGATTATAGACGTCATGTTCGCTTAGGTGATGTTGTTGTTTCCAGTTATGATAAAAATAGACCAATTATGAATGGGTAATGATTTGCATTATTCAAATTAAAACAGAAATATATTTAATATGAAATTGTAATTTATCTTATTTTAGAAATAATAATAGCTCAAGTGGAAATAAACCTTACATATATGTTTATAGCAGTGAAAATAATGTTAAAAATTTTTATCCTGTTAATGATTGTTTACAAAAAATTGCAAATAATTTACAAGTTGCTGCAACTGATGATAAAAAACCATGGGAAACATATTTCAATGAAGGATTACATCAATTACGTTTAAAAACTGAAACTGATTTTAGTAGACCAGCAGCCAATACTGATAAATTATATATGAATATTGGTAATAGAGAAGTAATTGAAGTACAACATCCACAACCAGAATATCTAAATGAAGATGAAATTAGTAATAATGATATTAGTAATAATCAATCATCTACCAGAATACATTTAGGACCAATCGGTTCTGGAAAAGATTTAATTAAAACAGATAATTTAAGAACAGAATTTGCTAAAAAATATGGTTTATTAGCTACAGATGTTGAAATGAGTTCAGTTCTAGAAAGTATTATTGGAAATTGCCGTGATAGTTTCATATTGGTTAAAGGTATAAAATAGTAACTTTTATGTGTAAATATAAAATATTTATATAACTTTACGATTTTTAGGTGTTTCTGATTATAAAGATGGATTATCAACAAGAAAATGGCAGAATTATTCATCATTGATTGCAGCTGCTGTTATGAAAAGCATTATTTGTGGAATGGATGCTCCAACAAATGTTTAAAATTTATAAATGGCTCTATTAATAAATTATAAATTGTTAATTTTTATTCTTTACACATTTACATACATAATATCTATATATCTAAGTATTTACATGTAAACGAAGGTCTAAAATAATATAAAATATCTCGCTTTTTTTTTCTCTCTATAAATAGGATTTAAATATTTGAAATAAAAGATTGTATAACGCCGAAACTAGTAGAGTCGAAACAAAGTAAATAAAAATAATTTTCAAATTCGTTTTGAAGAAATTAAAACATTTTTAAATTATTATTTTAATACTAACAAGTTTACAATAAAATCAATAAAACCAAATAGATATTTTCAATTTTTATACATAAGAAAATTTGGAGAGTAAATATTTGTAAAATTAATAAAGTCATATTAAGTTTTAAAAATTAATAATTCTAATTTTAGTTGATTGCTATACGACATTGCACTCAATTAAAAACGTTGAAAATTTAAAGGCAAAGTTCATGTATTTTAAAAAATTAAAATTCATGTATTTAAAACAACATTTTTTTTTTAAATTTATGATTTTCAATACGAAATATTAAATTCTACTTAGTTTTACTATTTTGTTTATTTCTGGCAATTCAAGTTATTGAGGTAGATTTTTCAGAACCGAATTCCGCCAGCTTCGTTTAGAAACAAAATTTAATGAATAAAATTTTTATCATCACAAAAAATTTGCAAATTTTAAAAAGAGAATATGATTTATTTTATCTTTTTATTATTTATTTATGTAATTTTGTAAATCAATTGTTTTAACTGAAAAAAATATATATATAAAATAAATATAATGGTAGAAAAATTAAAAAAACAAGTTTTTCACTGAACTTATTTAAATTTGATTTTTACTGAATTTTTAAAAGTTATCAGTCTAATGTTAGTTCAAAAATATTTCACTAGATGGAAAACTCGATTTCTTTCTGGGGTACCATCTATTGCTGGCTTTTTAAATTATCACAAAATTTGTGCTAAAACTGTAACCTGATTTGTGCAGGTGTAACCTGAATACAATATGTTTTATATAAGTACCTTTTCTTTTTTTCACAAAAATAAAGTAAAATTTCAACAAAAAAATTACTGGTTTAAATAAAATTCCTGTTTTATTTTTTTTAGTTTGGTGAAACATAAACGCAAGTATGTAACACAAAAATCTTTTACGATGAACGATTTATAAATTTTTAAAGTGTATGTACGATTGTATAACTTCAAATTTATAAGATTTAAAAAAATTATGACAGTTATTTTGCAGAAACTGTAACGTCCTAAAATCGTATATCATAAATTTCTATATTGTTTTTAAGACATAAACTCATCCTTATATAAAAGTACGGTTACAAGAATTTGGCTACGTTAATTCTTAGTAAAGTAAACAAAACAAAAAAATAAAAAATTAATATTTCAAAAATTTCCCACTAATACCGTATTTAAATTATCTCATTTTCAAATAGCAAAGATTTCTACCTTTTCTTGAAATTTTTTAAAAATCTCAATTTAAAAAGAATTTTTTGTGCTTTTCATTTAATACAAAATAAAGGGAAATTTTTAAAGAACGATTTCATGACATAATTTGAAAAGGTGTAATCATACCATTTTAATAATTTTTTAAAACTAGATAATTAATATTTAATTTTTTATAATCAACATACAATGTTATAATTTTGAAATAAATTATATCTTCACTCCTCTAAAACTCATGTATTAACTTATGTATTCATCATTGATATGATTTTACTTAGGTTTTAAAACGCAGTGAACAACTAAAGGCTATTTTAGGAATAAAATAAAACCTGTGGATGTACCAGTTTAAAAATTAACTTACAATAAAGTAATTGATATTAAACTTTTTAAATTACATCATCCAGCATATAAACACTAAGATTATGCAAAATTATTTTATCATTATTATACATAAATTGCAAAAACTTTAAAATTGAATTATCACAAAACTACGATGATTGTCTGTAATATTAATTTAGATTTCTTCAGAATCTCATAATGTATGTTTTCCATAATTTGCTGAATACACAATAACAAATTAAAGTACCTCCTAAGTATAAATTTTATTTAAATCAGTTAGGTAAATCTTATTATATTATCCTTTTACCTGCTCCTTTAATGAAGATTTTTATAGAGCAAACAATAAAACACGAACATATGTATATGCACATATCTAACCACAATATATCGTATTTTGATATTTGCTGTGCTTTAAAGAATTGTCAACAGCAACACCAACAATAAAGACATAATCAACTTTTTGGAATATTCCCAATTATCTTAAACAGTAAAAATTAAATTATGAAAGAAGCGAAGTTAAAGAGCACATTCCTGAAAATCTTAAAGTATAATTATAATTCATTTCAATTATCATTGTATGTATGTATGTAATAAAGCATTTATTTTTATATTAACAATTGAATAAAAATTACGTTTAGGTGAAGAAGCTCTTGTACACTCTGTTAATTTTTACACCAACGAAAATTCTCAAATAAAATGAAACTCAGATTATTTTAATTTTTTGTTGTCAATCAATTAAATTCTCTGTTTTGATTTCTCAGGTGTTTTATAGTAAAAATATGATGTTTAAAACAATATTCAACACGTGTGTGATAAATTAAAAAAAAAAGAGAAAAAATCAAAAAGTATACAAAACAGAGAATATAATTTTCCTGCAATATGAGAGAGATAAATTTAAATTTTTCTCCGAGATAGAGAATTTGCCCTCAATTTCTTATCTCTTATCAATTGAGTCAATCAGTATCAATATATAATCGTTAAAATTATTTCTCAATTATTTACTTAATACATTTACATTATTTATGTATATAAAGTTTAGTACATTAGGTACATTGTACAATGTTACTCTCCCTACAATTATTTCACATTTTACATAAACAAATGCGAAGCGGTGCGATATGCGAATGATAAAAATAATTTTTTTTTTTATTTTCTATTATTTAAGATATATGGAAACGACTCACATATTATTTCGAAATAATTATGTATGTATCTTCAAGACTGGTTTGAGTAAAATTAAAATGAGAAAACAGAGCTTCAACTTCATTAACTAATTTCAGTCGTTTAACGGCGGCCGAATAATAAAGGTGTTTATTTTATTTACGGTCACTTTTTAAAATTTTAAATTCGCCACGTGTTTTTAAGTTTGGAATATTTCAATTTTTTATTTTTATGCAATTTTAATAAAATTTTATAAATAATAGTGAATAAAAAGAAAGTTTATTATACCAAAATTAATTATTATTAAAAAAATATTAAGACGGAAAAGGTATTTTGAATTTATTTAAATTATAAGAGTTCAGCAATGTGGGTTTCTTTATTATTTTATTACCCGATTTAATTATTTATTAAATTTATTTTAATAATTTTAAGTGAAACATATTCAAGTAGAATTTTATATTAATTTAACATAATAAATGTGAAGAAAATGCAAATATTTTGAAATTAAATTAAATATCCTAAATATACTATAAATTTATTTGTTAGAATTAGGTGTAAAATGGCGGACTTCATAATTTATATTTTATAGTGTACATGTTAACCGGTTTCTAAGTATGTATTTATGTATATACATGGTACATAGAATTTTTAGATGTGGAAAATTTAAAATACTCATAAAAATAATAAATATAAGTATGCATCTATTGTGTTTTTTTTTGTTTTTATAACTTTATGTAGACCTAAAATGTATCTATGCAAATAAATTTTCAATACTGCGTAAAGATATTGTTTTATATATATACATATATTAAATATGAATATGTATCTATGTAGAGATACGAAAATGTTATGTTCAAATGTTCAATTAAATAGAGAAAAAATTTGGCGTATAGAGCTAATAATTTTGAAGTTGAATACATGTTGTTCATTTTAAAGCTTTAAACTACAATCGGAAGGCTCAACTCAGAATGAGAATGTGAATTTAAAAATGTAAACAATGTCATATGTTAAATTAATGTTTTTTATTGGAATATTTGTAAAATTTGTCTAGCATACAAGTTAAGTTAGTGATTGTTTGCTGAAAAAGTTGCTGAAAAAGTTGAGTTTTAACATTTGACAACGGTGAAAAGTTTTTTTTAAAGACTTCATAGTAAATAGTCAAATTATTATAAACAGAAATGGTACACCGACTTTTTTTAGATGATGTGATGTTTTTAATGGTTTACAATTCCCGCAACATTATATGAACCCAATTTTTTCCATAGTTCTTTTATATATTTGCATATGGACATAATATAAAATTCTTGAATTCTACAATGCAGAAGCATATTTAAAAATTAAAAAATATTTTATGAGTTAAATCAAATTATATCCTTTAATTAATCGAATTCGATTCGATTCTACTTTAGATGCAGTTATGGATCCTAGACATGCCGTTTGAAATCTCGTAAATAACCAATATAAGTGCTTATGTATGAATGTTTGAAATTTGATTGAGAGAATATCTTTTTAGATTTTAATTGAGAAAGAGAAGTTTAAAATTGAGAAAATAAGTTCTCGCTTTCTCAGTTATTGAATCTTCAAATCTGAGCTCTTTCATGACTTAATTTATGTTTATGTTGAAATGAAATACTTGTGTTTATGTTTTTTTTTCTGTTTTTATATAATAAAGTAGTATTTATAATAAAAAAAAAAAACAAACTCAGACGGTTTGTTTGAATTGAGTACATTGACCTTCATAATAATTATGTATTTGTTTTGGTTTAAGGGAAATTTACTCTTTATTTATTGTTATTTAATTTTTGTTTTGAATTAAAACACGTGCTCTATTGCTCACATAAAATTAAATAGGTGTTATAATTAATTGTTTTGCATCGATTTGTAATTAATAAAATTTTTCTTATATTTTCGTAACTACTTACATGTGCAGATACACATATGTGCGTATAACATATAAATATATCATACGAGTTGGAAGAAAGTTTTGTGTTTGCATAACTGCTTAATAATTAAATAAATTTGTAACTCATTAACAAAAAATTATCTGTAATTACATTTTTAGATTTAAAATACCAGACCCAATCTTATCTGCAGTTATCGTTTCCTAAAATTCCTATTACGAGAAATACTAACTTCAGTCTTCAACTGTCTCATTCGCTACCAACAATTTTGCATTATTAGTTCTTGGGTTTTATTTTAAATTTGAATACAAACATTGCCTCTTCTGATGATGTTGCCAAACACACTAGGGTCATCAACATTTTTTTTTGAAAAATAGTTAAACTGAAATAGAATTTATAAAGTACCAGATAGCAAAAAAAAAATTCTTCTTCTTATTTTTGTTTTTTTAAATTTGTTTTAACATCGAAATCATTTTAAGCTTCATCAATTAATAATTTAAAAGTAATGTGCACTTGTGAAACATCGCTTCTTAAAAAATTTAGATGTTCTTTTAATTGTGATTTAAAGGTAGCATAAAAGTGTAATGTTTACAGCTACCGCTAATTCATATTTTGTTCCGTATTTAAAAATTGACATATTTTAAGTAGCATGATTAGAAAATGCTTTTAAGATAAAAATTTTTCATACCGCATTTACACTATTATAATGGGTTGAAAAAAGAAAGTTATGTATATATAAATATGTATTATATTTACACATACACACACGTGTGTAAAAATTTCAAGGTCGATTATCATCATTTACTTTATCATTCTAATTTTTTCATTTTTCCAGATATTTTTTTTGTTTTACTTTGAAAAATGAAAACAGAACGCTGCTATCTGTATCTTGAGAATGGTACTATTCTGGAAGGTAAATCATTTGGAGCTCGAAAAATTACTGATGGCGAAGTGGTTTTCCAAACTGGAATGGTCGGTTATCCAGAATCAATGACTGATCGATCATATCGTGCTCAAATTCTTGTTCTTACGTATCCTCTGATTGGAAATTACGGTGTACCATCACCTGAAGAAATCGATGAATTTGGTCTCCCCAAACACTTTGAATGGTTTGATGGAATATCAGTAGCAGGACTCATTGTTGGCGAAGTTTGTACAACGCCATCACATTGGCGACAAACTCGTACTCTTTCAAAATGGATGGAAGAACAGGGTATACCCGGTATAAGTGATATTGACACAAGAACCTTAACTAAAACTATTCGAGAGAATGGATCAATATTGGGTAGGATTATTTATGAAAAGCCAACTTCCTACGTTTTTACTGACCCAAATATTCGTAATTTGGTGCAAGAATGTTCAGTAAAAGAAGTTAAAACTTATAACGAAAAGGGAACACCGAGAATATGTGCTGTAGACTGCGGTTTAAAATTAAATCAGATTCGTTGTTTTATAAAACGTGGTGCAAGAGTCGATCTTGTTCCATGGAATTATGATATAAATCCCAAAGAATTTGACGGACTCTTTTTAAGCAACGGTCCTGGAGATCCAGCACTGTGCGGGGAGACCATTAACCAAATTAAAAAGGTAATGCAGAGCTCAGATGTTCCCATTTTCGGAATATGTTTGGGACATCAACTCTTAGCCACTGCCATTGGTTGTAAAACTTACAAGTTAAAGTATGGTAACCGAGGCCACAATTTACCTTGTATTCACCATGGAACTGGGCGATGCTTTATGACTTCACAAAATCATGGTTTTGCTGTTGATGTGAACACACTTCCAAATGATTGGGAACCACTTTTTACAAATGTAAATGATAAATCCAATGAAGGCATCATTCATAAAGAAAAACCTTATTTTTCCGTACAATTTCATCCTGAACACACAGCAGGACCTGAGGAGCTAGAATTCTTATTCGAGATATTTTTAGATGCTGTAAAATACAGAAAAAGTGGAAAACAAGATAAAACTGTAAAAAATGCTCTAATAGAAAAATTACGCTACACATTAAAAGAAGAATTCGTGAATTTTGAAAGACCACGAAAAATTTTAATTTTAGGTTCAGGTGGATTGTCAATCGGCCAAGCGGGAGAATTTGATTATTCTGGATCACAGGTATTGTAAAACATATAAAATATTTCTGAAGTAAGTATTTTTAAATGAAAATTTAACTGTTTGCTTTATGAATATTTTAGGCAATTAAAGCTATTAAAGAAGAAAAAATTCAGACGGTGTTGATTAACCCCAACATCGCAACTGTTCAAACTTCAACCGGCTTAGCTGACAAGGTTTATTTTCTGCCACTTACTCCAGAATATGTTGAACAAGTAATAAAAGCAGAGCGACCAAACGGTGTTTTATTAACATTTGGTGGTCAAACCGCTCTAAATTGTGGTGTTGAACTTGAGCGCACTGGTGTTTTTGCAAAGTACAATGTAAAAATTATGGGTACACCAATCCAATCAATTATTGAAACTGAAGATCGCAAAATATTTGCTGAACGCGTTTCAGAAATAGGGGAAAAGGTTGCTCCGTCTGAAGCAGTATATTCAATTAAAGAAGCTATGGAAGCTGCTACAAAGTTAGGATATCCAGTAATGGCAAGAGCTGCCTTTTCCTTAGGAGGTTTGGGATCTGGATTTGCTAATAACGAAAAAGAGTTGCAAGAATTAGCCCAACAAGCATTTGCTCATTCAAACCAACTTATAATAGACAAGTCTTTACGAGGTTGGAAAGAAGTTGAATATGAAGTTGTGCGAGACGCTTTCGACAACTGTATTACTGTTTGCAATATGGAAAATTTGGATCCTTTAGGAATTCATACTGGTGAAAGTATAGTAGTTGCACCATCACAAACTTTATCAAATCGCGAATATAATATGCTGCGTTCTACCGCAATAAAAGTTATCCGCCATTTCGGTATTGTTGGTGAATGTAATATTCAATACGCACTGAATCCGGAATCCGAAGAATATTATATTATTGAAGTAAATGCAAGGCTTTCTAGAAGTTCTGCTTTAGCCAGTAAAGCTACGGGCTATCCATTAGCATACGTTGCAGCGAAATTATCTCTTGCTATACCACTTCCTGACATTAAAAATTCCGTAACTGGGGTCACAACTGCATGCTTTGAACCGAGTTTAGATTACTGCGTCGTTAAAATCCCAAGATGGGATTTAGCTAAATTTACAAGAGTTAGTAAAAACATTGGTAGCTCTATGAAAAGTGTTGGAGAAGTTATGGCGATCGGTAGAAATTTTGAAGAAGCTTTCCAAAAAGCATTAAGAATGATGGACGAAACAGTTAATGGTTTCGATCCATATCTTAAACCAGTAAGGGAGGAAGAATTAATTCAAGCTACAGACAAAAGAATTTTCGTTTTAGCTGCAGCTTTAAAAGCAAATTATACAATCTCGAAACTTTATCAGTTGACTAAAATTGATCCATGGTTTTTAAATAAAATGAAAAATATAATTTGTTATTTGAACTTTTTGGAAGAGCAAGGAAATGCTTTAAAATATGAAATGTTTCTTGAAGCTAAAAAGCTAGGGTTTTCTGATAAGCAGATAGCTTCGGCTATAAAAGTTACAGATTTGGTGGTAAGAAAACAAAGAGAAGAAATGGAAGTGGTGCCATTTGTAAAGCAAATAGACACTGTAGCTGGAGAATGGCCGGCTACTACAAATTATCTTTATCTGACATACAACGCAGATAGCCATGATATTGAATTCCCAGGTGGTTCTACTATTGTTGTTGGATCTGGTAATATATACAACTATCTTTTTCTGAGAATCATGTATCTGACTATTTTTATATTTTAGGAGTTTATCGAATTGGATCATCAGTGGAATTTGATTGGTGTGCCGTTGGATGTTTGAGAGAACTACGAAAACTTGGACGATCTACAATAATGATCAATTACAACCCAGAAACTGTTTCAACTGACTATGATATGTGTGATCGTCTTTACTTCGAAGAGATATCTTTTGAAACTGTAATGGATATTTACAACGTCGAAAACGTAGAAGGAATTATTTTATCAATGGGAGGACAACTTCCCAATAACATCGCTATGGATTTGCATCGTCAACAAGCCAAAGTTCTTGGCACTTCTCCGGAGTCAATTGACAGCGCAGAAAATCGTTTTAAATTTTCCCGTATGTTGGATCGCAAAGGTATTTTACAACCGCGGTGGAAAGAATTAACGAATTTAAAATCGGCAATTGAATTTTGCGAAGAAGTAGGATATCCATGTTTAGTAAGACCTTCATATGTGTTGTCGGGAGCAGCAATGAACGTTGCCTACTCAAATCAAGACCTAGAAACATATTTAAACGCTGCTTCATCTGTCAGTAAGGAGCATCCTGTTGTTATTTCAAAATTTTTAATGGAAGCTAAAGAAATTGATGTTGACGCTGTTGCAGCCGATGGGGAAATTCTTTGTATGGCTGTATCAGAACATGTTGAAAATGCTGGAGTACACTCAGGTGATGCTACATTAGTAACACCACCACAAGACATAAACGCTGAAACTTTAGAAAAAATTAAAGAAATTACAAGAGACTTAGCTGCTTTACTTGATGTTACGGGACCCTTTAACATGCAACTAATAGCCAAAAATAATGAATTGAAAGTAATTGAATGTAATGTTCGAGTGTCCAGATCATTTCCCTTTGTTTCAAAAACCTTGAATCATGATTTCGTCGCAACTGCTACGCGTGCTATAATTGGGATGGTTGTTGAACCGGTAGATATTTTACATGGATGCGGCAAAGTTGGAGTTAAGGTTCCACAATTCAGTTTTTCACGTTTAGCTGGTGCTGACGTGCAGTTAGGAGTTGAAATGGCCTCTACCGGTGAAGTTGCCTGTTTTGGTGATAATCGATATGAAGCATATTTGAAGGCTATGATGTCCACCGGCTTTCAAGTACCAAAAAGAGCAATTTTGCTGTCAATTGGGAGCTTTAAGGTAAATTTCAATTTTCTGAAAATATGATTTTTTTATTAGCTTTATTTGTAGCACAAAGTTGAATTACTTCCCTCTATAAGAGACCTTGCCAAAATGGGTTATAAACTATATGCTTCAATGGGAACTGGTGATTTTTATGCAGAACATGGTGTTGATGTAAGTTTTTTAGCTATTTATTCTTATTTATAAATAAGAAAGCTTTTTAAAAAAATTCTCATAATAAAACTAACAAAATTTAAAAATGTTTAAATAAAATGATTTAATATCTGTAATCTTAATTAATACTCGTTTATGACTTTTATGAAAAATTTTCGCTAAATTAAGAATATCAAATTTTTTTTTTGAAAATATTTATAAATTTTAAAATTCTTAGAGTAAAAAGTTACTAACATTAATATTATTGCTATCTATAACTTAAATAAAATCATAACAATATGTTACAAAATAATTTACAATAGATCTATAAATCAGTTGAGTTTTCATTAACATCGGATTCGCTACTGTAGTGGCAATCATCTTCTTGTTGTAAAACTAAACTTGAAACTAACTTTCTATGTATAAGATTTTTTCGACGTTCAAATAACTCTTTAAATGTTAAACCAGCGGTATTTTCCTCAATTTCACTTATTGTTGTATCTGAGCTAAAACTGGCTAACTTTAAATTATTGTCATCATCAATATTAAGATGTTTGGAAAATATTTGATCTCTTATTTCACCTTGACTAGAATTTGAATCAATGCTTGGGCGCTTCAACAAGCCATTAGGAATATTAGCAGTTTCTAAATCTTCTGCGCTTAACGTTACCCTCATTTTTGGAGTATTTCGATTGGTATTTTCAACGGAAAGTTCTCTACTTGGCTTTAAAATACTTTTTCTTGCCTTTGGGCTTTCTTCAATAGATATTTGCTTTTTTGGCTTAAAACTTTCCATTCTTTGTATAGTAACTACACGTGGTTCGATTTGTACGTGCTTTCTAAACGAATCTTGTTTTCTACTAGCTCTTATACTTGATGCCCTTAATATTTTATTAGGATTAAAAGATTCCACAGAACTTTTTTGTTTGACAAATTCGTTCTGATTTGAGTTCCTATTATCTTTGTCATTCTTTTTTAACACATCATTTGGATGATTATGTACATCGGCCTCGAAAGTGAAAGTCCTGGGTTCAAATGAATTTTCTTCATCGAAATGCACTGATCTGACTTTTTCATTTCTTAAACGTTGACTTTCTGCTGACGAGCTATCTTGATTTCTTAGTAATACCGGTTCAGAGTGATTCTTATTAGAACTTAATTCTTCTAACCTAAATGATTTTATTGGTTCCAAACTAGTTCGCTCTGGTAATTCTGGAGGATTTTCATTGCTTCCATTTGCTTGTGATAATGATCCAAAACTATTTTTCATTTTTTCGATTTTATCTAAAAATTTTTTTGCGCCATCTTCGTAATTGTATTTCGCTAAGAAATTACAAAGACGAGCAGCTTGATTTAAATATATTCTTGTTTTATCTAAAGACTTCAGTTCATAAGACGCTTTAGCCTGATGAATAAATTGTCTTATAAACATTTCAATGGTTAACGATCGTCGAATGTCGTCCATTGCTGGAATATTTTTCCTTTTCTCTCGTTCTAACTCATCCAAATTGGTTGTGAAAATATACTATAAATTAATATACATTAATAGCAAAAATACTAATTTTAAGATATTTTTATTAAAATATTTACTTGATGCATTTCTATGGAGTCGATTGATTCTCTTGCTACGGACTTTACTTCTCTGGTTTTTCTTCTTACACTCTGCAGTCTTCCACGAGATTTCAAGCGTTTTGAACGTCTACCCTGCTTTTGTCTCCGCTCTTGTTTATGTGAAAACCCTATTAAACCTTTATTTTCTTCATCTGAGTTAATATCATCGTAACCAGCAAATACAAATTCCTTTTTCTTATTTACAGTATTGCTTTCTCCCATCTGCATCAAAATAGGATTTCGTCGGACACAAGTTTTTAATTGATCAATCAAATTCAAGGGATTGTCAACTACAATAATTGAATACAATTTTTTATAATTTAATTTTGGAAAGAATGGTTCAATTTGCTCCAAATTTCGATAGGCTGCTAATAAATGCATAACTGGATTTTGTACAATTTGCGAAATAATTTGATGTATTCTTACTAAAGTGCTCTCAGGAATGCATTCAAATAAATTTCTTCCAGTTATAAAGTAGTCTGGTAAACATTTTGAAGTAGTTCTCTCTAAAAATGATTTCAAAAACCTTAATAATACTTCACCTAAAAATTCTTCTGGCCATGCCCCACAATTTTTTTCACATTCCCAAAACAAATGCATCCTGAGATGATCCATTGTAAACATAAAAATATCTCTTTTTTGTTCCAAAAATGTTTTGATCAATAATTTAGAGACCATGAAAATTTTCACTTGTGTATCCGTTAAATGGGTTTCTAAGTAACGTTCAGCTTTCGGAAAAATAATTTTCCATTCCAATTCACGGTATGGATTTTTACCAGTTTTTGGGGCAAATCCCATCGGTATCACATGACATCCAAAACTTTCAACTTTCTTTATCATTTCTTGCGTTGGCCATTGTAGCTGTTGGCCATTTAATGGATTGTATATAATAGATCTTGTTCTGCGTTTCCATTCAAAGGCACAGTCAGGCCAACATCTAAGATGAATTGCTGGTATAATTTCATATGATTTTGTGAATATAGATGCACCTTTCCAAGTCGCACTGTCAAATTCGACATCACATAAATTCAAATCTTGTGCTAGATGATCTTGCAAAACCGTTGCAAAGTAACAAAAAAAAGATTTTGAATTTAAATATTTAACTTCGATTACATCAACTTCTGAATCAGTACTTTCGTCATCATCTTCATTGTATGCTTCATCCAAATAATATTCAACTACTGTAATACATGATTCGGGTACTACTTTTGCATCAAGAGTTTCTGATTTTAATTTTTTTGATTTATACAATTCACTAAGCGGTTGATGAGTATTTAAGCTTGTGATATAAGCGTATTCTGAACCTAAAAAAAATATTACGTTTTATTTATATTTTGGGCTATTGTGTGATGTTCACCTACCAGTTACATCTACACCACTACTATTTGAATCCCTACATATACGAAGCGTATCATATTGCGGTTCTGTTACCTTTGTTGGTAATTTTGATTCATTTTTTGAATAAGTAACATCATTTTCAAAATAAGAATCGATACTTGAATTCGATGTTTTATTTGTATCAACATCATCACTCCTATTTTCAGATTGATGTGATCTTTGCATAGAATTTGTTTCACGTAATCGAAGTCTTAAATAACCTTTGAACTTTTTGGAACGTCCAATATTTGTATCAATATCAACTTTACAAATAGGATTAATTGAGTCATAGTTTGCGTCATCTGGCTTTGAAATTTCAACGTTTTCAAATACAACATACATTGTTTGTAATTGTAATGGTGATAGTTCATGTTTATCAAGCCCATGTCTTAAAAAAATGCAATGGAGATTAAAAAATTCTTCAAAAAAATAAAAATATTTTGTAAGTGTCAATTGAAAAAAAAATTATAACAAGTGCATTTGTTATAAGGCCCTTAAAACAAATTGTTTGATTGAAACATTAATAAAGATAAGCCAAAAAAATAGATAACATACTAGAAATACTCGTTAAATTTTTTTTTTGTAATCTGAACCTCATAGATAATCTAAAAAGGAATTTCTACTTACTTTGGTTTATATTGAATTCTACTTTGAACGACCTCGTCAATCGCATTTGGCAGTAAAATTGAATGCTTATCAAGATATTGATTCTGTTCCGCTTCTCTATTTAAAATTTGTTTATAGTTCAATGACTTTTCGCTGAAAAATTATAATATTATTATATTTATTTAATTTATGTTGTATGTAAAAGAGAGCAACTTTCAACCAAAAATATTGTTCGAAATAATAAATGACTCAAAAATTTGATTAGACTTGCTTCGATTAAAAGTTTTTTTTGTTAGCTGTTTTGTTATACCCTTAGCTAGAAATTTATCTTCAAATATGTTTTCCTTGTATTAATTCATTCATTTTTTCTTTCAATTCCGGTCTAAAGCAATTCCACTTCCAAGAAAAGCTTAAAGTATTTTCAAATTTCTTCACTATAATAATTTGTTTTTTAGACGCAACAGTTATTATAAACGTAATACAACTTGTTGTTGCCTCCCGAAAGAAGAGAGAAACGAGTAACGAATTTTTTTGGCCTGAAAATTCTTGATCTTGCAAATTTCAGCTGACATCTCTATAACTAAAACAATATTACTACAATATTTCGCAATGTATTTGCACATATAAACGCCTTTGTTAAAAAACCTTTCCATTTTACAAAACCTTTATTTACAAAAATTTTCTTTATTATTTTCAATGTCAATTCTTTCCGCAATAGATAATTAATTTTTTTGTTAAATATTTACATTTTCTAATAACTTTTCTTTTTGATATAAAATTGTGTAATTAAGTTCTAACAATTTGAAAAACCAATCAATTAAATTTTTTTTTATATCAAAATGTTCTCGAAAAATGAAAAAACCTTATTTAAGCACCTATAACATGCATTATTAATTATTGAATTTCCACTCCCATTTTTTACCGGCGTATGACGTTAAAAATTTCAGAAGAAAATTTTTTAAAAGAATTTTTCCGACACATTTTCGCATGAAAATAATAATGTATGGCAGAAAATTTAATTATTATGACTAAGTTAGTTATTTAATTTATCAGAAAAGTTGCTAAATTTGAATGTTACGTCATAAGTCTCTAATATTCAAGAGAATCATCCTTAAGTTTACTCTGAACTCATGAATGAAAGCTACCTCTAAGCCTTAAAATCAAAAAATATTCAATGATAAAAATCTTTAAAATTTTTAAAGTTTTTTATCAAATTTATCATAATTCAATCACAAATTATATCAAAATCATAATATACGAAAAAAATAATAACATAATAAAATTCTAAGGAACATAATTTCGCGTGTATCAAAATAATGACTGTTATAGATATGTGTGTATGAATTGTGTATGCATGCTTATACCTATACACAAACAATTTTCATTAAAAAAATTCAGTGCCATCTAGTTTGTTTATTAAAACAATTTTGGCAAATTCTTATCAAATTAATGTAGCAATATAGGTATATGGAACGAAATCCAATTTTTTTGAAGATCTCTAAAATTTTAAATAGATAAAAATTATTTGACGATTTCATGTACGTACATACATATTACACTCATAATAATAATGTAATGACATATTTATCTTAATGACGTATGTATTTGGCATTTTGACTTTTTTCATTAAAACTATCAATTTTGTGATTAAAATATAAAAATAATATAGAATTTTTATTATACTGCATTTTCAACAAAATAGTGGGGATTGCAAAAAAAGTCATACTATACCAAAGAAATCGCTACATTTTTGACATAAAAAATTTGTTGTCAAATATTTTTCTGTTTTCTACATATTTCTTTTACTCATATTAATTTTTTTATAAACAAAAACTGACACACTGAATAGCTCCAGTGATAAATGTCAAATTATGTAAGAGTTAAATTTTTTTTCTAAAAATACTGCTCGCGAAACAAGCTTGTTAAATTAATTGAGTTGAAATTGAATTTTTGCAAACAATTCCAACAAACAACACGCCAGTATTAAAACTGTCCTACAATTCAAACTTTAAAAATATTTTGTTTGAACACTTTTATTTTAATTAAGTATTTTATTGAATTTAAAAAAAAAAATCGAAATTTTTAACTCTTGAATATTGTGAGTATACCGCTTTTGTCATACCATTCAATTGTTTATGGACTCAAATTCAATAATAGTTTTAAGCAAAACTGGGTTTAAAATTTCAATAAAATCGATTAAAATAAGCTTTTAGTTAATTTTCAAGTCAAGAAATTAAATTATAACTTTTTAAAATCCAATCTGTTTTGTAATAGTCCGTAAAACCGATAATAAAATCTATCCCTTATCTTTATAATTCATTTAGCATTTTTTTTTTGCTATTACCTTTGATAATTACCATAAAATTGCATCGCCAATACGATTTGATTAAGACAGAAATGAGCAAATTTTTTTGATATTTGATCTTCTAATTTCAGGGCTACCTGATTGTCATAATCTTCCATGCGAAAAGCAATTTTATAATTTGATGTTTCTAAAACTGTATTGTTGTCATTAAGGTTTTTATTTGTATCCTTTTTTGATTTTTTAGCAAGTTTCTTTTTTTGTTTCTCTGCAAGTTTTTTTCGTCGCTTTTCTTCTTCAATTTGCTTCTGTTTACGTTTTTGTTCTTTATACAATTCACGGTCAACTGCGTTATTAGGTTTTTTTAATTTAGACGTAGAGTGACCCATTTCTTTTTCTTTTTTTTAACTTTTCACAATTTTATCACAATTTCTTTACTATATAATATTGATAAATTTATCACATTTAAATTAAAAATTGAAAATATTCATTTTAAGCATACGACGACACGCTCGTTCGTTTATTAATCGTTTTAGAAATTTTATTGTGTTCACGTGAAACGCATTCCGGATTATTTGGTCAAAACGCGCTTCCGTAGCAAGAATTTGTTAAACTTAAAAGTGTATGTGTGTGATTTGGATTTTTTCTTTTCAGAAATTTCAAACTTAATTCATCCGACCTTATATGATGACTGAATATTTTTATTTTTGTTTTAAAAGTGCTCGCGTTTTGTAGTATTTTAAAATAAAAAAGTATTTTTTTTTCTATAATTTCACTTTTTGATAGATAAATTGATAAAGAAATCATTTTGATGTTATTATAGATAAAATTTTAATTGCTGAAGATATAAATATATTTTATCACTACTAGGGGCAATCTTTAAGGAAATTCAGAAAACTACGATAAAATGTTTTTCTGTATCGAAAACTTTGAATTTTATTGATTTTTTTTTCGGAGCAATTTAAAATTTGTTAGAGAAATTTAGAAAGAGTGAGAGTGGAAGAGAATACAATTACTTTGTAAATAACTCTCAAGGTGGCAGTTTAATTAAATTAACAACGACTCTCTTGTTGAAAAATTGATTCATTTCAATAATAACGTAACATTAATAAGTCAAAAAAAATAATAGAAAATAAAACAAGTAAAAGCCTAAAAGGAGCTCAGTTTAGCTTTTGAAAATTGCTTTTGAAAGTTTAACAGAAATTTTCAGTTGGAAATCGAGTGCACCCTCAAGTTGGGTTTAAAATTGTTAATTAATCATTCTAAATTGATTCACCCTGTTTTTTATCAGGAAAGTTCAAGTTATCATTTGATAAATTTTCTGTATATTGCATTCTTTAACAAAGTCAATCGTTATACAATAAAATTTTATGTGATGATATCACAAGATCAACACAAATGACCTAAGTAAAAATTAGTTAGTCTTGGTTTTTATAAGTTATCGTCACGTCGCGAACTTTAAAAAAACAAGGGATGACTTAAAATTATTTAATCTTGAATTTTCAAAATAAATGCTTTAAGCGATTCATAAATATTTTTTTTTTCATTAAGGTTGAATCCGTACAATGGACTTTTGACAAATCTACTGCAGATGACTCTAAGGATGACAATGGAGAGCTACGACATTTAGCAGAATTTCTTGCGAATAAACAATTTGATATGGTTATAAATTTACCAATGAGAGGAGGCGGAGCAAGAAGGTTTTTATTTATAAAACAAAAAATAAATATAGCTGAATTGAAATTATCTAATTTTTTTGTAATTTTCTAAAAAGAGTGTCATCTTTCATGACCCACGGATATCGTACACGACGTCTTGCTGTAGATTATTCAATCCCTTTGGTAACTGATGTAAAATGTACAAAATTATTAGTTGAAGCAATGCGTCTGATTGGCCGGGCACCACAAATGAAAACTCATACTGATTGTATGACATCACGGAATATAATAAAACTACCGGGATTTATAGATGTACATGTACATTTACGAGAACCAGGTGGCACGCATAAAGAAGATTTTTCTAGTGGAACAGCTGCAGCTTTAGCTGGTGGTATAACAATGTTATGTGCTATGCCAAATACAACACCCTCAATTGTTGATCGTACATCGTTCAGTCTAATTCAAGATTTGGCCAAAGTAAGTGCACGTTGTGATTATGCGATTTATTTGGGAGCCACCGACTCAAATTATAATCAAATAAATGAATTTGCGTCTCAGGCGGCTGGTTTAAAAATGTATTTGAATGATACGTTTAGCACTTTAAAGATGACTGATATGACAGTATGGGAAAAACATTTACAAAATTGGCCAAAACGTGCTCCGATTGTCTGTCATGCTGAACGTCAGACAATGGGAGCTATAATATTACTAGCACACTTATTGGATCGTTCAATTCATATTTGCCACATAGCAAGAAAAGAGGAAATTATGATTATAAAAGCTGCCAAAGAACGTGGTGTCAAGGTTACGTGTGAAGTTTGTCCACATCATTTATTTTTATCAACAAATGATATTGAACGTATTGGAAAGGGTTGGTCCGAAGTCAGACCAGTATTATGTTCTCCAGAAGATCAACAAGCTTTATGGGAAAATTTGGAATACATCGATATTTTTGCTACAGATCATGCACCACATACTGTGAATGAAAAAAGTTCTATTAAACCGCCACCAGGCTTTCCAGGTTTAGAAACAATTTTACCCTTGCTTCTAGACGCTGTTGAAAAAGGACGGCTTACAATTGAAGATATTAAAAACAAATTTCATAGAAACCCTAAACGTATATTTAATCTACCTGATCAAGGAAACACTTATGTTGAAGTTGATCTAGATGATGAATGGGAAATACCGAGAGAATCACAATATTCAAAAGCAAAATGGACACCATTTGCAGGAATAAAAGTAAAAGGTCGCGTTCATAGGGTAGTATTACGAGGTGAAGTAGCGTTTGTCGACGGTCAAGTTTTAATTCCACCCGGATACGGTCAAAATGTACGCAGTCCACATTATCGTAAGCATCATCAATCAATTGAAAATCTTGATAAGTCTTTAGCAGATATTCAGGATGGTTTACAAAATATTGATATCACAAGAAACTCTGATTTGGAATCTGATGTACGAACTAACGAAGTATTTTCTAAATTACTGTCAGAACCATTACCAAAACTGAACGTTCATTTTGCTGGAGAGCCAAGCTCAAGACCTATATCACCAATGCCACGTGTTAGATTAGATTCCACAAGTAATACAAGATTGAAGGAATTAATTCAACAAACTAGTACTGCAGCAACTGTTGAATCCTCAAGTACGACATTATTAGGAAAGCATATATTATCAGTTGACATGTTTACAAAGGAGCAACTCAACGATATTTTTAATTTGGCTCAAATATTTAAAGTTCAAGTTAATAAGGATCGTCCTCTTGATGATATATTAAGAGGCAAAGTAATGGCATCAATATTCTACGAAGTTAGTACAAGAACATGTTGCAGTTTTGCAGCTGCGATGCAACGGTTAGGTGGTAAAGTTATTTATATGGATGAAACAAGTTCCTCTGTCAAAAAAGGTGAAACATTAGAAGATAGTGTATATGTTATGGCTGGTTATTCTGATGTCGTGGTATTAAGGCATCCTGAACCGGGAGCTGTTGCAGTAATAATTTTTACATAATTTAAAATAAACTTTTGTTTAGTATGACTATTTTTTCTTTGTTTTTAGAGAGCAGCACATCATATAAGAAAACCGGTTATAAATGCAGGTGATGGAGTGGGTGAACATCCTACACAAGCTCTTTTGGATATATTTACAATTCGTGAAGAAATTGGTACAGTTAATGGTTTGACTATAACTATGGTAGGTGATTTAAAGCATGGACGAACTGTACATTCACTTGCAAGATTATTAACTCTCTACAATGTTCAATTACAATATGTCAGTCCAGATAGTCTAAATATGCCAGATCATATAACAAGATTTGTTAACTCAAAAGGTATCAGCCAGAAAACTTTTAAAACTATTGAAGAAGCATTACCAACTACTGATGTATTATATATAACAAGAATACAAAAAGAAAGATTTTCATCAGAAGAAGAATATCAGAAGGTATGATAATTTTTTTAGGATTTAGAAAGATTTAATAAAGTTTATAATCAAAATACAGGTTTGCGGTCATTTCATAGTTACTCCAAAATTAATGGCACACGCACATAGGAGAACAATTGTAATGCATCCATTACCAAGGGTATTTGAAATTAGCGCTGAATTTGATTCAGATCCAAGAGCCGCTTATTTCCGTCAAGCAGAATACGGAATGTATATTCGAATGGCTATATTAGCGATGACATTAGGGCGTGATTCATCAAGCGGAAAATATTTTTAGTCTTATAAAAAAAAAACTCTTGCATTATGTTAAATTATTAAAAGAATATTTTCTAAAATTAAATCAAATATTTTATACATAAGTATAACAAATTGTTTTTTTAAAGTTAATTAAGATGTGTGAAATAAAAAATTTTTTAATAAATCCAAAATAAATTTTTTGTGGGTACGCTGGAAGTAGTCGCAAACGTAAGTTTTTTTTAATTTTTTTTAACTTAAAAATATTTTTCAAAATTTATTTAATTAAAAAATATTTTATTTCTATAAATTTACAACTATACGAACTCATATAATCAATATTATAATTCATTACCAATACATTTATAAATTGACTACTTTATTTATTACAAATACAAAAATAATATCACTTTTCTTTTATAAATTACTTTTTTAACAATAGTACAAACAAAAAATAAATTTTCTCAATTATATTTCAACAATTAGTCGTCAGTCTTTTCAATTTCTTTTTCTGTAAAATAAATTCCATCACTGAAAATTTCAATCAGTTGTACCTCGTACTTTCAATTGAATGTTATATAAGTAGTTTAACTGCAATTCAGTGTAGTTTCTTTTGTATGTGTTTACATACGATAGATAACGTGCAATTGAACCAATTTAAAATTTCGATGACAAAATCACATTTTCGAATAGATATTGCAAAAAAAATTTAATCTCCAATTTTTTAATTTGAAATAAATTTTAAAATTTCTATTCAATATTTTTCTACGATAACAACTGGAACCGATGATCTCTTTTCTGATAAATTTATTGATTCTGATTTTGAATGGCCATTGTTATCTATTTCATCATTATTAAATGCATTATTAGATTTCCCTAATGTTGGTAATCCATTATATTCTAATATTTGTGGAATTATAAATGATACGGTGTTTTTAGCAGTTCCATTCTTTTTTTCATTATTAAAATTTTGTAAATTTAATACCAATGGATAATTGGGATGTGAACCACTGCCGTTTATTTTAACATTTCCATTTTCAACACTTTCATCTGTTTGTGACGAAATTGTTGATGTTGTAGATGATGTTGAAGATGAAGATTTTTCCAATCTATTAAATTACAAAAAAAATTAATCGATAAGAAAAAATTAGAAAAAAGTCAAAATAATTACAAAAGAATAATTAGCTTACCTTTCTGATTGTTTACATCCTATGAAAACCATCAAAATAGCAAGAATAATAAAGGCAGCAACAATACCAGATATTCCAGCAATTAATGTCATCATTTCATGCGGTTCACCATCTATTGTTGCTTTTGGTACTATAAGAAATAAAATTATGTAGATAAAATGTGAATAATATTTTGTATAAATGCAACGAAATGACGTAAATAATTTTTGAAAATTTTTAAAATCTATTAGATTTTGTTAAAACTTACCAAAATCTTCATCAATTACATATCGGCTTGTTCGACTTCTTGTAAAAACTTCCATAATAAATATTTAAATCAATTGATTAAATGTAAAAGAAGACTTGGAGTATTTTATAAGAATCTGTAACAATAGAAGAAAAAAAATTAATTATTAAAGAAAATTATTTACTTAATATTAATCTATGTACATATATAAATAAATAAAAACAATGATATTTTTGGAATCTAAGAACTTTAATTTACTTATAATGACTGAATTCTATCTGTTCCATTTCGAAAAACAAACAAAAATTGCTGCCCTAAAGCAAACTATTTCAATTTAATGGCCAGATTTTGATTAAATTTTGCAAATCACATTTGAAGGATTCCATTAAACTCTACAAGGTCATCATCTAGTTAGCATTTAATTTTAATTTATGTTCTTATATATGTAAATTGTGAATGATTTTCCTAAAAAACACAATTTTTTCTATTGTTGATTGAGCTCATTAATTGCATTAAATTAGGTAAATTTATGCTTAAGAAGAAATGGTCAATCACATTTTTTATAATGTGATTAAATAGTACAAAAGCTATAAGTATTATAAATATAACATAAAAATAATATAGGACCAGTAATATAATACAAATACAATAATTTTACAACCTCTTTTATTATCAAAAATGTTTGCTATCATTCTATAATCATCAATTCGCGCAATATTGTTATATAGATTTTTTTATAAACATTTAAATGATAACAATTTTTTTTTTGTTTTCTTTCAAAACTGATTCAATCGTTTATCTATGAATTTCCTGTATAAGTAATATAGATATCAGTTCCTCAATATATCTAATAAAAAATAAAGGGAAACTTTTTTATTATAGTATGAAATAATAATCTTGTAAAGACTACAAAAATAATTTTAGTTTTTTCAAAAGCAAAAAGAAATTTTCAGGTAAACATTCCTTTTTTCCTCGATCAATACTATTGCAAAAACATATTCACAAACCATGAAACAACACATATGTTTTTATACTTGGAGTAATGCAACTGTATAAGGTTCAGCCGTAAGAACTCACAAATTGCATTATTCATAAGTACTTTTAGAATCCAAATTTAAAAATCAATGAATTTTTGTTTGAAAATTTAAAATTAATGAATGAAAGTGCTAAAAATTAAATTAAAATTTCTTGATATTTCTTTCTATAAGTTGAATTATGCGATAAAGCAGTATTACTGCCCATTCGAGAATTATTTATACTTAAAAGCAGCTCTTTAAAAGATATTCCATCACATTGGTCCAAATAATAAAAAGAATTTCTATACAATTGTTCTCACAACTGAGAGAGACTGAAGAATTCATATAACGCAGTAATTAAAATTCTTAAATGTTAAAATAAATGTGAAAATAATTAACAAATTACCAATTATTAATTCATAAAACAAAATTTAAGTTATACATATTTCAAAATACAATAATTCCAAATTCTCATAAAGAAACACAAAACAAAAACCATAAAACAAAGTGCCAAAACGAAGTGTCAAAATAAAATCATTAACAATAAAAATTACCAATATAATTTCATTTATTGCAATTATTATTGTGTTGCGACGATAAAGGTAACCTTGTCCTTCACTATCATGTTATGCAATACTATTGAAGTGTAAATTTACTCTGAAATTTTTTAATAAATTTAAAGTAATTTATACAACTGTCACCGTTCGTCGTCATCGTCGTCAAAGTTCAATAAACGGTTTCTAATTTTTTGCCTTAATGAATTCGTTAAATTTTCACCATACGAGTACATAATTTTTATTTATTTTTTTAAAATTCGCAATTTTTTTACTACAATTTACAAATATAATTATTGCTATTATACTTATTACTTATTTATGTGTTTTTTTTTGTAATTATGAAAATTTAATAATTTTCTTAATTTTTTACTTTTATATTACAAGAAAAGAGAACTGAAATTATGTTGACCCAATTTTTATGTCATTAACTAATTTATTTGAAGTGGTTTTCAATTTCGCGTTTTTTTTCTAATTCTTAAATTTATACAATAATTGATGAAAATTATATGTGCCTATGGAGGTTAATGTTTCCAATTGGAATAACTTTGAAATTATTCGGTCATTTACCATTCAACAACAATGTCATATACTCGTATTATTAGAAAGCTAACAAATGAATTCCTTGAATTATGATCGCATATAATTGAAATGATCAAATTAATTGTATTGTTTTTGTAAAAATTTTTACAAAGTTTTAATTTTGTATAGGCATTTTTAAGGATATTTCAATTAAATCATAATTGAATCGTTTAAGTTTTTCAAATATTTAATGTAGACGCATAATATAACATAAGAACAATTGAAACTTCGAATTAATAGCAGAGTGAAGGGGAAATTTTTGATAATTAATACGATGAAATCTATACTAGTTTATATTTTTATATTATTAGTTTAGAAGAATTAATTAACTTGGCGGAAAAAATTAAATAAATAAAACATAATTTATATCTTAGACAATAATTTAATCGCATATGGTCGCATTTAATTTAGGAAATGTGAATGAATTAAGCTGGAATATCACTATAATTACACGTATAGTAATGTTTTACAAAAATGTGAAATTAAATTCCTCATTGAGTGTTCAAAATTTTAATTATTTAAATAATTCAATAATTTGAAAGAATTTTATGTACCCCGAAATTGCAATAACCGGCTGACTGGCTTAAATAACTTTATTTTTAGTTAAAGCGATTCCAATTCCGCCAAATAGAACCATTAAGAGCTCTTACTTTTATTTGATAGTTCAAGATTAAGCAAAAAATATGCATACACATAAATTAAATAAACGTCATATTGTTATATTAGAAAATTTATTTAGAAAAATGCCAAACCTTAACAGGTCTTAAAAATTATTTTTGTTAATAAATTCCGGTTATAAAGAAAACAATCTTAATAGAATTTTTAAAATTTACAACTTTTAAATATTTGTTTTATTATATTAAGAATATCTTTTATTTTCTTTCGAATTCAAATTTTTAGTTTGTTTTAAAAGAAATTAAAATGACAATACAACTCGAACAGGATTTCAAATTTAATAATATCACAAGACTTTTGTTTTTCCATTAAAAACATTAAAAAAAAAAAATTAATGTGATTTTTTAATGTTCCTCGCTTTTGACTCAAAAACTTTCTAAAATTCTTAAACTGTGTGTTATCAATTCAATCATACAATTTGTGATAATCACGGTACTCGCTACACCCTACTTTCCAAGAGATATTGAGGTTATGATTGACCTATACATTGTTTGTCAGATACCAACAAATACGACTAAGTACCATCGTTTTCGTATAGATAGAAGAATATTTAATATTATTAAGAGCAATAATAATGTTAAAAGTGAACCAGTTAAATTTTTTTTCACTATTATTCTAGTTTCAAAGGATAACTTATACATAATTGTACACAAAACTCTTACAAGCCTGAAGTTGAGTGTGCCAAATTAAGACGCACTTTTTTTTTTTAATTCAATAAATAATTCTTGCATTACCATAACTTCTATATCAAGTTTGTCAAACATTTTATATTCATATTAATTATTTTTTTTTTCTCCAAAAATTTTGAAACATAAATTAAATTGAATCTAAAAGTCTGGTTTATTAAGAAATCACAAAAACGTGGAGCATTCCCAAAATAGAGAATTAACGTATTGGCTATAATATTCAATCAATCATTAAATTTTCATAAAATATTAATTAACTAAAATATTTGTATAATATTTTATTCAATTCTTTATAGAAGAACCAAAAAAAAAAAGAAGGTGTACCTATTAAAATTTCAAATAAATTAATTTAAATTTTTGTTAAGTTTTATTGATTTATAAATTGCCATATTTTATAATACAATCATTTTTAAAATAAATAAGTTGCTAATCTAAAATTTTACTAAACAAAAAAAAAATATATATTTTTTTTTAACAAAAGACAATAAGACGACAATAGTTATAAAGAAAATAAAAAATATTTAATACCTAACCTCTATGAGGCTTATCGCTTTAAACTTTAGTTAGAAGATAAATTTTTGACCTTAAACTTCATATTTTTTTTTTGTTTAGGTATACTGTTTACATATACGACAAAATCTAAGGTTAAATCGTACATAAAATTTTCTGACTGTTTACATATCAGACTAAAATTATCTGATGACTCCAAAATTTAATTATTTACTTCAAACTATCACAAAAATTTAATTGTTGCAATTTTACTTTTAAAAACCTGGCAGATGATCTAATGTCAATCAGGATTTACACATAGACTTTCATAAGGCTCAGGTTAAATCATAGATTTTATCGTTTATGTAAACCATAACTAAGAGGAAGGTTATACAACAACAAAAAGTGATTCAATCATGGGACAAATATATTAGTCACCTACTTTTCATTTACTTTCACACAAATTTTGGCTATGAACTTAAGATTTCTTTACATCCTAAGTCGGCCCTTTCCTCTAGCTGATGTTAATGAAAATCAGAACTCATTCTTAAATTTAATATTTAAAATAATAATTGTATAAATATTTTTTATTTTTCAATTATATTAATCTTCTGCACATTTCAAACATCAAAATTACTCCATAGTAATTTACTATTAAAAGCTTCGAAATTTGCCAACCTCCTTAAAAAGCAATAACAACAAAATTTTATAACAAACGTAATTTTCTAGATCGCAATACCATTTTAAATGTGAATATAAAAAAACCGGCTGAGATTTCGATATAATATTGATAAAATTATAATATTCAATTAATTTTTTCTTTCTTTTATTTTTTGCGTCTTCCTGCATCATATTTTTTTTTTTAGAATAAAGTTTAACCAAAAATTATGTATTGAAATTTTAACTTGAATTTTTATTTTAATTTATTGATTCCCATTAATAAATATATTAGATATAGAATAAATTTTTCCCATGGCAGTTTAATAAATGTTATAAAGCCATAAAGTCTGTGGTAGCATGCAAAATCTGTCTAAGTTTAGTTTTACAGTTATTATAAATATATATTAAAAATTTCAGTTCCAATTTTAACTTTAATTTGACTTTAATTCAGAGGTGAGAAACAAAATATATGAA